GGGGGGGGGTCTTTTAGGGTAACTGTATGGTTGGGAGAAAAGTTTGACAAGCTCTTCTGCACACTTTTCCCTTCTCGGGTATTTCAAACAAGCCCTTGACTCTCATACATTTTCTGGACCACCATGGCTACAACACTGTAATCCTTCTAAGGCAAATTTCAACTTGGCTAACTATATTCTACGCAGCCACAGTTTCTGTTTTTTCTCTTAAATTGAAACACAGTGTTACTGGTATTGCTAAATGGGTGCTGTATATTACTGATTTGATTGTGGTGAGTAAAGCAATACGCATACACAAGTTGTGCCTCACGAGCACTTTATAGTGCAATTTACAAGTGACCTATAAGCTGTAAGATAATTGTACATGAGAAGCACTACTTCTGCTTTGTGTTTCCATGTGACTTAATATCAGACATAAGGAAATAAGGCAAGTGTCAGTTCTACATTTCCCACCCTATTCTGCTTCTCCATATGGGAAAGGGTAGCAGATAGTAGGGCAGGGATGATAAGACTAGCACTGTCAAAGCCCTGACCAGGCCCATTCTTAAGTTTATACAGGCCTAAAGAGCTATTGATGGTTCTGTGATGTAGTCACTAGGATTTGTGTGTTTCCAGAAAAAAGAAAATAAAGTCCTTGTCTTGAGTATGGCAAGTTTAAGATGGAGGTTTGGTTTGTCAAATAAGTTTAATTACAAAGGAATTTTAGAGTTTTAATTTTTCAGACTGGCAGTAAGACAAACATTTCTCAGGCTAACCCCAATTATGTGGGAGGTTAATTAAGCCAAAGATTTCTATCTTTCCTGACAAAGAACCAATGATTCAATGTTAATAGTGTAAGCTATTTACATGAAAATATTATACATGTGCCAGAAATAATATTACATGTATTAGAGAAACAAATGACATCTCAACCTTCCTGTGTTGCATTTTTCATGACCCTTCACCCCATAATGTGTTCTTCATTTTGGGTTTCACAGGTTGAAAGAAGCAATGACAAAATGAACACTGATAAAAGAAATAGCTTATAAATAAGAAAGGAAAAACTAATCAAAACAGCATAACAGAAATTAAAAGTATTGACTAGAAAGAGAAAGGTGGAAGCAACAAACGAGCAACTGGATATAACATGGCTTTTTTAGGACTGCAACTGCTCGCCTCTGCCAAACTTAAAACCCTCTTCCCCAGAAAGGCATGCTGGGAATAAAACGGAGGGGAGGGTTAATAGGGAACTGGTATACTAGCACTTTTTTTTTGGACTACCACTGTATTCCTAGTGTGCTTTTGAACAAAGTTGAGTCTTTTCTCACCCAATCAGTTTAAGGAATTACACACAAATTTGCTCCCACCCGCCTCCTCAATTATTGCACATGTACAATTACTGAAAGAGGCTGGGGACTATTTGTTTTCAACTATATATCTACCAACACTTTGTATGGTCAGTTTTCCTCTCTCCACACAAAGTGAAGGGAGGTAGCATTTGAAAATATGAAAATGCAACAGTATATCTATAAAAACTGGCAGAAGACGGACAAGTGTAACACCTCAAACCACTTATAAATAATTTTAAGTTCCTTATGCCTCCCAAAATGTTAACCAGAAACTTGAAGTGTCTCCATTTTTTGTTTCTATGACATATTTACTATTACATTTTAGGTGACAAACCAGTTTTTAATACAATAGGATCCTGAAAATAGTTTGAAATAATAGATTTCTGTAGTATCACATTGCTATATGAATTTCTTTTATATCAAAACTTAAATATATGGAGAAATATACATACTAATTTCAAATTATGACTTGGGATAAAAAAATTACCTCAGCTGAAAAAAAGCCTGTGTTGCTGCATTATTATCACCTGTATGGCACTGAATCTTTGGTAGCGGTAGTAGGAAATCACATCCATGGCATGTGTGTCATTTGGGAAGGGCTAAACCCTGACCTCAGTTACCCAGTAATCTGGAGTAGCTCCTCTGAATTGCAGACAAGACTATTTCTGGGTCTTTGAAATCCTCTGGCTTTGTTGGACACACACAACTATCAGGCAGCAAATAATGTAATGACAGTCAAATTCAGTTTTATGCTGTGACTGTGTACCTATTTCCTACTGAGCAAATGAACTATATAGTTGTAAGAACAAAAATGGAACCATTCCTTTCCTTTACTTAATATTTTCAAAAATAATGTAAGAAACCCTTTCCTAAAATTCCTTTGGCAGTAGACAGTTGATATTTTAGCTTACAGGAGTGCCAATTTTGACTTTAAAATGCTTAGAGGATCTTACTCCATCTTGGAGAGGTTTCCTTCCGTGTCCACCTCTAATGTGGAAAGTTCACTGATGAGTGGAGTTGGATTGAGAGAACATTTTGACACAATGATTAAACAAAGCTGCCCAAACAGTTCCATAATAGGACTTCATTGTATAAAGATTTGTTATTGATTTCCTTTTTTCAAAAGCTTATAGGCTCTCTCACAACAGTGTACCTGAGAGCAAATAGATTATGGAATTTATTTCCATCATTTTATTTACTTAATATTATCCCATTGGTTCTGAATTTCTCATAGAAATAGCTTTTTTGCTGTGTTCTAATATTCATAAAAATATATATCATATACTTTCAGCTCAGGATGTTTGATGCAAACAATGATGGAAAGCTGGAACTCACTGAAATGGCAAGGTATACTTATGACTTTTCCACATAAATATTCTGTACCAATATGGAAATAATCAACAGCTGTTTGAACTCTGTTTTTTCTACACCCCTCTCTCCCCTCCACTAGGTTACTCCCAGTACAGGAAAATTTTCTTATAAAATTCCAGGTATGTAGCTTTACATTCTGCAGTTTGAATGTTTAACATTATGTGCTGTTCTTCTAATTCTTGCCTTCTTTGATGTTTAGGGTGTCAAAATGTCTGGCAAAGAGTTCAATAAAGCCTTTGAGATGTATGATCAAGTAAGTCATCAGAAAGTCTCTAAGTCCTATATGTTAATTGAGAATCACTTCCTAAATAAGGAAAAAATAGGTGTATAGCTAAAATAGTTACAATTACTGCAAAGTAAATGGTACAAATGCCTGTTTTTCAGGATGGCAGTGGATTCATAGATGAGAATGAACTAGATGCATTACTGAAAGATCTGTGTGAAAAGAACAAAAAGGTAACTCTAGAAGTTTTCTCTTTGCAGAAAACTTGGATTTAAATTTGGATTCCAAGAAGATTTTAAATGTATAATCCAATAAAGATAAAGACAGAGCTACTAAAACCATGATGGCATCTGGTACAGTTAAACTTTTGTAGAAGTAATAGCAACATAAATCCTTAATTAAGTGAACTGTCATCATACAGCAGATTATATTATGAAGCATCTTTGAGTACAAGTTCTCAACACTCTACTATGCATATATAAAAGTTATATTTGAATACTTAATTTCTATACAGTTCTGTTGGACAGGCTGACACCAAACAGCTTTTTTCCGACCTATTTTGTATCACTGGCAACTTGCATATTCATGTTGGTAACTACATTGGATTATTAAGCATTTTGTTTTGTTTCATTTTTAAACTAGGAATTAGATATCAACAGCATTTCAACATACAAGAAAAACATCATGGCCTTGTCTGATGGAGGAAAGCTGTATCGAACAGAACTTGCTCTTATCCTCTGTGCTGAAGAAAATTAGTGACTTATCACCTCCACTTAACTAGTGATATAACTGTACCTACACAATAACTGTGCACTCTAAGGGAATAGGCTGTACTTTCTTTTATATCTGTAAATTTAAACTGCATATAGATAATTAGCCAGGATGTGTGGCACATTCCTTTCAGTTTGTTTCTATACTGTTTGTAATGTACAGTTTTTGTAACTATATAAGATTGATAAAGAGAATGTCTATGTTTGGGCTAGTCTGTATATTCAATAAGAAGCTAAAAAAAACAATTTTTTGCTTTGGTAAACATGGCTGAAAGAAAAATTAAAAATCTGCTGAGACCATTTTGTTCTTCATATCCTTTGACACCTGCAACACTACCAGGATCTATGTTAAGTAAATGCTAAAGATCTCTTTCTCATTGTATGACTAAATACGGGTTTTTAAAATGGAAAATGAAGAAATACTGTTTTGAAGTAGGAAAGGTGACCAGAGTGGTTTGAATGTGAAGACTTACCAACTGTTGAGAAATATTTTCAGCAGTCAGACCTTGCAGATCTTTGCGGTCTGTAGTTTAGCATTTAAATGCTTCTCATCACAGACTCATGACATACAGTCATAACATGTAAAAGCAGCTGATATGTGGAATAACTACCACTACCAGCACTGAAGTTCACAGAAAATGAAATGTTTTCCATTGGGTTGTTTAACATGGATGAGTTTAAACATGGTTCATAGGCACTAAAAAATACAGGCCTTTAATCTGTCTTGGAAGCCTGGCTAATCTGAAGATAGTATAGTTAGCATAAAAAGAATAGCATAACATAAAATTTCATGAAAATTGCTGTGCCAGAAAATATGACAATCCAATTTCTAAACTATTTTCACATTTTGCAGGTTATAATTATTTTAGTAACTGCTGTTTTTACATCACAGTCTGTGTAACCTATAATTAAATGTAATATACTAAGACTACTGTTGTCTAGTCTACTTCCTGGATTTTTTCCTTTCAGGGAATAGAAAAAAAATTACTCTTTTTAAATAGATGCCCCTTGCATCTCACAACAAATGTATAATCTAGAAAATTATTCAAGTTTAAATTAAACCTCAACTTTCTCCCCTTCCCACCAAAACAATCTATTTTTTGAAATACCTATTTGACAAAGCCAGTACTCTAGTGGGGTCCAGATGTTATTATTCTGAAGGACAGTTGTTTGAAAAACAGGAACATGCTACATAAATGCTCCTGTATTTTTTTAATTGCACTCCATAGATCTGCTTCTCCTTTTACTTTGCTCAGTTTTATGCCAGCATATTTCCATAGACTTAAATGGAGTTGTTCCCAATTTGTAGAGGGATGAGAGAGAAATCATCCCTGTGTCTTAGTATCTGTCAACCTCAGAAGTCCCCACTTAACATGCGGTGTTTCAGAAGAAATCCCAGGTCTAGAGATTATTACCACAGATGCAAGTCCTGAAATATATTTCCTGTAATTTAGTTATCAACCAGGGACAAATCAGTTTTATTAGAAACAAACAGTAAGGTCCTGATCCTTCCAAATATTTAGGCACTTATTTCCTTAAATATGAATTGTGCACATCTGCTCAAAGGTATGTAGGTGTCTAAGTGCCTTGGGTGCTCACCAATCCTGAGACAGTAAATTAGGGGATAGGAGTTAGCAAAGTGATACTTGGTGGTGGGGTTGGGGAAATAATAAATGAGATTAATGATAGGTCATTCTGACAGCTTCACTCCAGTGCCACACATAATGATCTAATTCTTTACTTGCTGATTCACCTCTTTTCTCTATGCAATGTAAAATATAATTGTGTATTTTAAGTGAAGGAAGAGTAAATAGATTATCTGCCTATAGGCATAATAAATGATAAATTCTGTTTCTTCCCTGCACTTGGAACATTGGATTTTGCTTTATTTTAACACTTAAAAGCAAAAATAAGAAATCATATTGTACTGTAATATATGTGATGTGAAGTCACTTTGCAAAAATTTAGAGTGTTTTTTTTTTAAAGAAAAAAGTCATCACATAACTCTTATCTTCTGGAACACAATTAAAACATTACCAGTCAAAGGTTTGTTCAAAAACTTGAAAATTCTACCATTGCTATTATCAGCTATCTTCCAGTACAGTACAGAATCTAGCAAGCAAGTCAGAAACATCTACATGATTATAAGAACTGTTTCATATGTATCACAAGTACAATTTCCACTAAAAGAATACAATGTGAAAGGAAGTACTAAGAGCAATGTGTTTTACATCAGTATAGTGTAAAACATAGCAAATATAAGGAGTCTGAATTGCTGTAATGTTTTTAAATCAAGAGTTTATAACCTTTACTCTTCATAAGAAAAGTTCTTCAAAATCTAGAGCCTGATGCCAGGAAGTGCTGTTGACATCAGAACCGGTGATGGTTAGATCCCAGATTTGCTTCTTTTGAGGGATGCTGCAAGGTGAGAAAGATCATAATGGAAAATAATATAGACTGCAAAAATAGGATTCACACCTGGATTGCTTGCATTCCAATTCTGCCAATAAATCAACACAGGGACATAAAAGAAATATTTTAATTAGTAAAACGTTTAAATTATTATTCATCATTCATCAAAAATATTATAAAATATAATAGAACTAACATACACACTACACAACAACTTGCAAAAATCCCAGGTACTTACATTTAATAAATATGCTGTTATAGTAGACACCTCACCATAATATCAGCTATGTAAATGAAGGGAAACCATATTGCAATGGCTTTTAAGGTTTGAAGTGCAAAATATCAATTGTCTACTGTACCATGGGAAAAAAGTTTGACCCTTAAGAACCCTGGGTGTTATGTATACATTTTTTACTTAGAAAAATAGCAGAGTAATTAACAAAGTAATGCCAGGCAGTGTATTTGTACATTTCAGTCTTTACCTGCAACATATCTTGCTGTTCTACCCATTGGGCTTTTCTCCCAAACAGAAACTAACAATGCAGAGTTGCCTATTGTGGGTGTGTGAAATGGGCCGTATTTGATTCGGATTCAGATTTAGCCTGAATTGGGGATAGTGATTTGATTAGTTGATTCAGATCACTGTCCTGATTCGATTTGGCAGAATCTGAAGATTCAATGCTGATTTGGAGAACCGGTGATTTAGCCATAGGCACAGCTTTAAATGTTTTTTCTACATACTTCAAAGTACCAGGCATGGCTCATGAATGCTGCAATTCTGGGGTGGATGGAGCTTCCTACAGGAGTGGGGCGGGGGTGGGGGCACGTGCTCAGCAGCAAACCTGGAAGTGGACTGGAAGTACTTCCAGTCCACTTCTAGGTCTGCTGCCAAGTGTGCTGGTGACCCTCCCTCCCCCCTGCCCCCACACACATCCTAGCTCAGTGATCGGCTATGGGGGGACCCTAGGTGCCCCTCCAGACCCAGGAGGCACAAGTCTCTGAGCAGAGGATGGGAGGGGGTCCCCCATGCACTCTCCAGCAGACCTGGAAGTGGACCAGAAGTGCTTCTGGTCCACTTCTGGGTCCACTGCTGGGTGTGCTCCCATGGGACGCTCCATCCACCCCATCCACCCCAGGGTGCAGCAGCAGTGCAGAGGGGGACCAGCCCGGGGCACCTCCCTGGATAGACCCCCATATGGGGAGGGCGGGGGTGCAGCCAGCCCCTCTCAACAGTTGCCTGGGAGCCCCACACACCCTGAGTCTGGGCACTGTGGGCTGGGAAGCAGTACAGAAGAGCAGTTGGCTTGCAAGGGGAGAGTAGGGGAGCAGGATCTGGAGCCACGGCAGCAAGTGCGGCCAGTAGCCTGGCCTGTCCCACCCTAGGAAGGGGACAGGGGAGGCTGCTTGCCTGCAGTCAGTACCCACAATCCATTGGCTCCAGGGGACCAAGTGGGGATGGGGTAGCTTGTCTGGCAGATGCCTGGTCCCAGGCCTGCCCAGCTGACTTACTATGGTTCCTCTGGCACAGTGCATGGCTGAACCCCGATCTGAGGCTGGATAGCACACGGCCCCTGGTGCAGAGCATCTTATATCTGAAATGTTGTTGCAAACTATCACAAAAGCCTTCTGCCTCTTGCCTCTGCAGGACCAACATCTGGACGTGGGGGAGAACCCACCAGCCCCAGAGGGGATGCAGGATCCAGATGCACCAGCTGAATCAATGGTGCACAATGAACCAGACCCTCCTGGTGACAGTGGAAGAGTGGGAGGCATGGGCACAGGTGAGAGAGGTGTGGGAACAAGCCTGGCAGGCAGAACATATCATCCAGGAGACTGCCTGGGATGAGGCACATGACCCAGCAGGACCACTGAGCATGAATGGAGCCCCTGGAGTGGGATCACATGGAGCTACTCCAGCAGCAGGTGCCCCTCCAGGCCTGGACAGAAGAGGCTGAGGACACCAACAGCCAGGCCCTGGACACCCTCCTGGCCCTGGCAGTCACATCTGTGACAGAGCATCTTTGGTGCCTGCCACTTTAAGGGCTTTGAGTGGGAGCAGGGCAGCTGGCGGGTGCAGACCAGCTCTGATGAGGTGGTTACATGACCCTGTAAGGGCCCTGTGATTGGAGAAGAGAGCTGACAAGACTCCATTTTAGCTCAGGGCCTCAGAGTTCAGCTAGCAGTCTGCTGCTGGCAGCCAGAAAGACAACACGCAGCTGTGCAGCTGCACACCTTAGAGGTAAGAGCAAGAGCTATAGGGATGGCAGGAGGCTCCTGGTCCTGGGCATGACCAGAGGTTGCACCCTGCCAGGGAAGGGTGGTCTGATGGGGCTGTCCGTGGCAGGACAATCCCCCAGAAATGCCAGGCCAGTTACCTCTCTGGTGAAGGGTGGGTAGGGGTGCCTTATAACCCCAGCTCTCACTAACCAGTGGATAATTTAGAGTGGAAATGGGGGGAGAAGGGGGAGATCAGGCACGTCTCCAGACATCTGAGTCCCGTGGGCTGAGCACCTGTAGCATGCAGAGAGGAAGGCGCAGGAAAAACCAAATGAGAAAAGACCCTGGTGGCCCTGGTGAGAGGGCAGAGAGAAGCCTCAAGGAGGAGGCAGAGAGTGGCCCTGAGAGGGACTGATGGCTGAGTTCAGCCCAGTGTGGGGCAGAAGACCAGTGGCCATGCAGAATAGGGTGGTGTGAGGCTAGAGTGCATGAGAGAAATATGAAGGTCTGTATAGAGTAGGGCCCAAGGGGGACCTGAAGGGCTGCATGGATTAGGGCGGGATGTATGAGGCCTGGTAAGAAAGAGGCCCTATGAAAGATGGCAGAGGGGAAGAGGCCCTGTGAGAGGGGGCAGTATGTATGAATCTGATGTTGAGACCCGGTCCTGAGCTGGCCCCCTGTCCCAATGTACATGCTCCCCACTGCCTGGTCCCCACCCATGGCCCTGCAAGGCCCCTGGGTCCTGCCTGCTGCTTCACAACAGGCCCCTGCTTGGGCCTGGGAGGAGGTCCTCTGCAACCTCCTGGACTGGCCCCTGCCCTGGACCTGCCACCATCCGTCTTGGCGCAGCCCTGCTGCTCTCCCCCACATCATGTGCCCAGCAACCTGGCCATGCCACACAGGGACACTGGGGCACCAGATGGGGAGCCATCTGCCCTTGGGGACCCCCATTGCAGGTGGCTGCAGCAGGAGGTGCTGCCATCTAGCTTCTCCCCACCCCCCTACAGCTCCCCACCCTGGACCTGAAAACCCAGAGAAATTATAGGTAGTTCCCACATTACAAGGTTGGTTGGTTTGTTTGTTTGTTTTAATTGGTGGTGGAGGGGCTCCACTGGTTGAGGGGGAAAGGGATAGGGATGGGTGGTGTTAGGGAAATAAAGCTTTTTTCTTTCAACCATGTGCATGTCCTGAGTGGTGCAGGGGGTGTGTGGACAGTGAGGCAGGTGGCTGGAGTGGGCAGTGCAGGAAAGGAGGAAAGGCACAGCTGGTGTCCTGGACCCCACTGGCAGGTGTGTGGTTCTCCTGAGGCCTGAGTGAAGGGGGCCTGCAGGGGTTAGCAGGGCCAGCATGACTGCCAAGAGGAGCAGCAGAGTGCTGGGTGTTGCTGGCAGAGGCAGGGG